CCCCAAAACCCCAAAACCCCAAAACCCCAAAACCCCTCTTATACTAAATTTTCTATAAAGTTGAAATTATAATTTTAGTATTAAAGATATATCTAAGTTCTCATTTTATTTAGCTTGGAGGTTTGAAAGAAATTACAAATTAGTTTATTACATACCATCCACTTTGTCTATCCATTTCAAAATTAGTTTTGTCTCTCATCTTAGGATATGATTATGGTTTTTGGAAATTTTCAAAATCATATTAATGAGGCCAATCAAACTCTGATGCTACAACTATCTTATGTTTATAATCAGAAGCAAAAGCTGGCCACCAACTAAAAGATGTAGTTGGTAGAATGAAATGTTTACAGCTCATCATTAAGAATAATTCTTCAACACTCTTAAGTGTTCCGTTAGATACAATTACTACATTTTCAGTATTCTTAAATACCTTTGAGACTAAATTATAATCATCACTAAAGATATAAAACACTGGAGGTTCTTAGGAATATTCTTTAATTTTATCAGCAACAAAATGCATTGCTCTAATTTGATAGGTCAATGAAATTACCCTATTTTCATTATCATAATAATTAGCTAAATCACCTATTCTAAAATGTACAGCAACTCCCATTGTTTTTAAAATCTATTGTTTCCAAATTCTATATTCATTGCTTTTATTTAAGTTAGCATCCGATCTAATCATTGCTTTCACCTATTCAGGGTTATTTTTGAAATATTAAGTATTTAAGAAATAGCCAATTAAGTTAATATTTTTAGAATGAGGCAGCGTTTAGTTATTAAAGAAATCTTTGTAATTTTTTGCACCTATTGTTTCATAACCTTATGATAAAATTTACTTGGCTTATTTTTCACTTATTATCTTGCTATAGACCAAATCAAATTAATTGAGCATGAAGTCCCTTGAGTCCTCATTAAAATTTCTTTCTCTCTTTAAATCAAGTACCTCATCTACCAAGTAAAAATCATAGCCAAGTTTTTAAGCTAGGACAAATCCAGCAGTATAACTAAAAAGCTAATTTCCTATACCATCTTTTTTAAATCGTGATAACACTAAGATCCCATTATTTGTCTAATTTTATTTCTCATTCAGATTAGTCTTCTTCAAAATAATATTTTTATCATGCTGTTATCTTATTAGAGTTTTAATTGCAGATTTTTAATCAATTTAAACCTCAAAAGAATCTAAATTTATTTATTCCTTTACTTTTTAACTCTCATAAATTTGGTAAGGCTGTTATTCTCTTTCCTTATTTTGTTAATCTTTTATTATCATAGGTGATTCATTAATTGAAAATTAATTTAATGAATACCAGGATTCTTAAGTATTCAAAGTTTTGAAGATTTAACTAATGGTTGTAATTTACTCTTATCCATGTACTTTTATAGGAAAATACCAAGGCTAGATAACTATTTTACCTGGGTTTTTGCTTAGAAAAGCAGCCCACCAGTCTAGAGAATTATTTGATAGGATAAAATGTTAGCATTTAATCATTAATTATAGCTGCTAAACTTCTGAAAGATTTTAGCTTTTAATAATGTAAACATTTGCCATGTTATTAAATATGTTTTTAGCAATCTCAAAATTCTCTGAAAAGACGTAAAACATAGGCATAAGTTTACCATTGGAGGTAGATATATTTTTTGAAATAAACTCCATAGCTTTGACATAATAATTTATTGGTACTGGATCATTAAACTTAGATCTTTTGATATCATTATCAGAATTAGATTTACTAAATGTTAAAATAATTGCTATAGGAACAAGATTTTCAATTTTATTCTTTGTTATCCTTTTTGACAATCTAATGTAGTTTAATGATTTCTATATTGTTTGATCTGATCCAAACATACTTCTAATCTCTTACAAGCATTATGATGAAAATTATGCAACCTCATTAGAATTTTCTACAGTTTAGAGATTATAGTTTTCAAGTTCAGAATAAACTTCAACAAAACTTGTGAAATTCAATTAGTCGTGCTTAAGGTCAAATTAGTTTAAAATAAATGAATCATTTTTCTGTTCATCTTACTCAATAATAATGTGAATTTCTTGATTCATTTGTTAAGCCTTGCAATAATTAATCGAGTATTTTAATAATTGAGAATCTAAGTTATCTCTATTGAGAAATATAATCTTAACTTCTTTTTCATATCTAATTAAGCTTCTAAATATATTGCTCTCCTCTTCCTCCAACAAACAAATATCCCTCCTATTTAAAAATAAAATTTATTATATTTACTAATTTTCATTTCTCTCTAAAAAAACATTTGAAGATATTTCAAATTTCTAGCTCCTTAAATTCATAAATCCAAGGCTAACAAGAAAGATAAGATATAAGGTTTTAAGAATCAAATAAGGCGATCGATTGATTTTTTAAACAGCAAAATTGATCATGAAAAACATTTTAGTAAATTTAAATTTTAAAAACATTATAAATTAGTTAATATTGAACAATTATACCTTTGCGGGGTTTTGGGGTTTTGGGG